TTACTTGTTAACTTATTGCTTGTTTCTGACTGTTTATTGTTTTAAGTATAATATTGTTCCTCAATGGATTTGTTTGCTTTGATCTCCTCCTAGTTGTCAGAGTTACTGCACCCAAGTTCTTGGGTTGACTTGAGTTTGTGAAAATTCAGAATTAACATTGAATCCAATAAACCTAGATGATCAGTTTTAAGCTCAAATCAAGTATAGGCCAGTTGCAGTAACCTTCTCTGCATAATGAAGTTTCTTTACTAATCAGGATCTTAAGTTGTTGTATTACTTTCATTTCTTGCTCCCTATTTTTATCTCTTAATGTATGGCCCTGAAATTGGTTCTGTCTGTCCAAATTTGCTCTTGTTATACTTGCATTTAAGCTTTTGATTTGCCAAAAGGCTCCTGCTATAGGCTGCAAATTGCTTATGATATAGAACTTGTCATGTACTGGCTGTGCAGAATTTTGACAACTTTGTTTTATATTACTCCCCTTCTGTTGATATTGTTTTGCATATTCTAAGCATCATCATTCTTTTGTTGTCAATACAGGTTTGGTAACACTGCCTATTTGCATATATCTGTGGCTTTTATCCAGATGCTCAAAGCTCTAAGTATGTGGAAACAAAGTGCATTATTTAATTACATCGTACAAAACCACTCTATAATTTTAATGGCTGGCTGTTTGTGTTTGCAATGTTGCAGTGCCAGTGGCAACATTTTTCATGGGTGTTATGTGTGGCACTGATAAACCAAGGTGCGATGTGTTCTTAAACATGGTGCTGGTCAGCGTTGGAGTTGTCATTTCCTCATATGGGGAAATTCATTTTAATATAGTTGGCACAGTTTATCAGGTCACAGGCATCCTAGCAGAAGCTCTAAGGCTGGTCTTAACTCAAGTCCTCCTGCAAAAGACGGGCCTGACTCTAAATCCAATTACCAGCTTATACTACATCGCACCCTGCAGGTAAACTCTCTCCCCTCACCCCCTATTTTGTAATAATTTTGTGTCTGCCACTCATACTAACTCCAAAAGACTGGGTCTTATCACGACCGTCATCCTTGTATATAACTGTTACTGTTGATTTTTTTGGCAGTTTTGTGTTTCTTTTTGTGCCTTGGTGCTTACTGGAGAAGCCTGCGATGGAAGTTTCACAGATACAATTCAATTTCTGGATCTTCTTCTCCAATGCTCTTTGTGCTTTAGCTCTGAACTTGTCCATATTCTTAGTTATCGGAAGAACCGGAGCTGTCACCGTTAGGGTTGCTGGTGTTCTAAAAGACTGGATACTGATTGCCCTTTCCACTGTTGTTTTCCCCGAGTCTACAATAACAGGGCTTAATATAATTGGTTATGCCATCGGTACTTCTATACTCTGAATCATGAACATTACGTATTTTCTTCTGTATTTGAGAAACTAAAATTGATGCAAATTCCTTTTGTTCTCTTTCTCCCTCTTCAGCTCTGTGTGCTGTTGTCATGTATAACTACATTAAGGTTAAGGATGGTCGTGCTCCTCAGCTGCCTTCGGATAGTATTCAGGAGAGATTAACAAAGGTCAGTCTTCTCAAATCTCAGTAGCCCTCAACACCATTATCATGTCCTAATGTTTAATTATTTGGACCCAAATACTAGCAAATAAATGTGTGATGTCTCACGTTGATGATCTGTTTTCTCTTGTTAATATAGGATTGGAAATTTGAGAAGAAGTCATCAGACATATTCATCCCAAATATCAGCAATGACGCAAATGGAGGAAGCAACTTCAATAGCTCTGAATTGAATGACGAAGAAGTGCCTCTAATTTCATCATCCAGGCTATCACATATAGGGCACCAACTAAGCAACTGTAGCTCTCAACGCTCATAGAGCCTAGAGATCATACGAATCGGACGAAGGAATTGTGGAAGAAGGGAGCCAACCCACATGGTCCCCGCCTTCTAAGTTGAAGGTAAGGAAGATTAATTCTTTTGAAAGGTATTTGATTGGTTGATGTTTCACAGTTTAAAGAAAGCAAAGAGCGATGTTATTGTAATTACTCGATTTGTTTTTGTGTTCATGCTATACATGACAAGATTATTGCAAGCACGTAGATTGCATAACTTAGGTGATAAGTGATAACTTATGAGAGGGGACGAGGTTACCGACTTACCGTAATATATAGCAGCTAAGTGACTATTTATGTGGATAGGCTTGCTTGCATTCTTTGACCTCTATTTGCTCGCTCACACTATGAGACAACCATTTTTTTGGATTCTTAGATGTTGCAATATATTTATTATCATGTTCATTAAGTTGGTAAATTTTCTTATTTTTTCTCCTGTTTTCCCCTTTTAATTTCATTAAATATTTTGAAAGTCCTGCATGATACAAGTTCCCATGGAGATACAAGCCTTAGAAGAAAGAATTTGTTGATGGGATAAAGGTTCATTTGTCCAACTGAGAAGAGTTTTTGCATATTTGATACCATTGCATAATCGGATACGACTGGTTAGACCAAAAAACAGCCACTCCGACCTCAAACACAAGCACAAACCACACCCCGTTATCGTGGATCTCTCAGGTGCCGGAGGCGCCAATCCCGTTTCGTCTCATATTTCTCTTAGGTGCCGGAGGCGCCAATCCCGTAATGTCCCGTATATCTTTGGTCTTCGTATTGACAATATGAAATTTCCAGATTGCAACTATAAGCATCAAATTGGACAAAAGGTATTTACCTTTATAATTTGATCCTAAGATTACAGTAAAAGAAAACAATGTCATTTTCAAATGTTGGAGACTTGACGATTACTAATCAAATCACCTTATGTTACAGAAAAATCTTGTTTCTCCAATTAACTTTTGTTTCTCTCTCTCTCTCTCTAAATTAGCCGCCAAGTGCACCATTTAAGAAAATAATATAAAAGGAAAAATGGGGTTACCTGTGGTCACATCAGTTATTCTCTTATCCACGTCATCAACTAGTTAATATCCAAATCCACAAACTTTAACTAACAAAAAATACGATTAATGTTATTTTAATTTTTTCCACCTAATTTGGTTTCAAATTATTATAAAAGATAATAAAATATTAATATAATTTTATAATCAAAATCAAATAAACATTTTGTTATTTAAACAGCCATATTTATCCGGTTGACATGTAAAATTCTTATCCAAAACCCAAAGAAGTAAGAGTAAATTTGCAATTTTTTTTTATCAAGGATAGGACTGATTACAAAATTCCACCTGTTTATTGTTATCCAATTAAAATCGACTAGAATTCAATTTTCGTCATCTGTCTTTTAAAATAATATCAACATTAGCGTAAACTACAGTTTATGGTCATCAAAATGTGGATATGTTTTTATTTTGGTCAATAGAATTTTAAAAATTATATTTTGGTCACTAAAATTATTGATAAAGAATAAAGAATCAATCAAAAAGTAACTTTCGTTATATTAATGATTTGAAATAGTAATAATAATTATTAATATCTAATTTACTCAAACTATAAAAGAATATCAATTTCATGGTTCAAAAAAATATCAATTTAATCTTTAACGAAATTTATTTAACTCAATTCACCTATCAATATCTTCATCAAGAAACCTTCATCACTCAATCACATACTATCACCGACAATTATTAAGTTTGAGTATCATTTTAAGTGGCAATACTGTAGGTTTCCATACCATACATGCCATTTAAGGAAGAATAAGTCAACAGCATTATAGCTTTTAATATTCATTGACTAAAGAACTGGTGGTGGTAGTACTTGGTTGAAAAGTGAGGGTTGATAATGTTAAATGATAGGTTAACTAAGCAAGTTAATTTTTTTAAAAAGTTTTTTTAAGAATTAAATTGATGTTGTAGTTATAAAAGTTAAATTAAATTTTAACCATTATTATTAATATGTTATATCATCAATTTAATGGGAGTTCAGTCCAAGTGATATTTTAGTTATTTATCGATAATTTTAATGACCAAAACATGACTTTTAAACTTTACTAATCAAAATAAAAATACATCTAAACTTTAATGACGGTGATTATATTTCACCTTAGTTTAAATTTAAGGAAAAATAAATCAAAACCTTATAAATTTAGTTTTATTTTTTAAAATAATTGATTTATTAATCATGTGCTAAGTGCACCATTTAAGAAAAATATTCCTAAGAAATGTGTTAAGCCACGTGAAGGAAATCATCAAAATCAACGCCGTGTCAATTATTATTATTATTATTCCGCAATAATCAATTAGAAATTGGGTTTAATTATATAGTTTATCCCTCTATTTTATGAAAAATAAAAGGTTAGTATCTTTATTTTATTTTGATAGAATTTGGGTTTTGTACTATAAAAATTATAAATGAATCCAATTATTAGTATATACGTAAATTTAAACTGCTAATTTATTACATATATATTGATGAAGTACTAATTTTTTAAAGTATGAACAGAAAAAATTATTATAATAATATTAATTATTATTTATAAAAATAATAATATTGTATTTTTTACAATTAAGTTAACATCTGATTAATTAGTGATATTAATTCAATCAATGCCTTAATATTAGTATATATAATACTAACAAGATTTTAAATCATTGAACATTCATATTCGAATCTCACTTTATGTAGATTACGTGAAAATTACTTTTATTAAATCTCATCATTTACTTGTACACTTTATAATTATTCCAATTTATGAAAATTATTATCTTAGAAAAGATAAATTATTTAACGATCGAACTTGAAATAAATATTAAAATTTAATTATGAGTTGATATAATTTATTATTAAATGTTTTTATTAAAAAAAGTAAATTCTTATCGAATCTAAACGTGTGAAAGCTTATGCAAGCAATATCCGACGGCCAAACGATTCCTTCACATTGCGACGAAATATACAAATTCGCAAAAAGCATAGGGACCAATTACAAATTTTGACACGTCTCTCGCACATTGACATTATCCAATTAAAATCGATTTAAATTTATATTTTCCTTTCTTTTTTTAATCCTTTTCCCTTTTTGGCGTTTGCCATTTTGCGTAATCTTTTCAATCTCCAATCCTCTCTCTTTCCTATGTTAATTTCCATTCCCCGTACAAAGTTTCTAGAATCGTATGTTGCTCGCCGTCGCCCGGTTGAAGTTCTTAGCTGAATTGTGACGGTGGTGGGGTGTATTTTCAACAACGGTGATGGCGGCGAAGAAGGTGACCGAATCGTTCTCGAAGAGCTTAATAGAGGAAGTACACAAATGGGGATGCATGAAGCAGACTGGGGTCAGCTTGAGGTACATGATGGAGTTTGGGTCTAAGCCCATCGAGCGGAATTTGTTGATTTCGGGTCAGTTTCTCCACAAGGAGCTCCCCATTAGAATTGCTCGGAGAGCAATTGAGCTCGAGAGTCTCCCTTATGGACTTTCTGAGAAGCCTGCTGTTTTGAAGGTCGTTTCTTGTTTTTTAGTTTTCAAGTTCATTTCTTTGATGGAGTGCTGCTATTTTCTGTAACACACAGACCAACTGCTTGATTTTTGGTGCCAAAGGGTTTTTTATTTGTTGTTTTGCCAAAATGGGTATTTATCACAACTTAAATTGGACTGGTTTTCCTTTTACCCTTTTTCTTTCTCCTTTTTATCCTATGAATATGTGATTCTGCATACTGGGTCTTTACATTGAATTAAATAATCGGTATTAATTATTTATTACTGTACATGGATATTCTTCCTGTCACTGCCTTGTGATTTCTGTTGCTTTGCTTGCCTTTTCTGCTCATTGTTGACCTTTTTGCGCTTTTAACGGAACCATGGAGGAATTCTTAAGACCCTTATTTTATCTTTTGAGGCCATAGTTTCTTTAGAAAAATATGTTGCTTAAACATTATTTAGTGGACAACATTCTGATTTCATTGCTGCTTGCTATTTGCTTTTGTCAGGCCCCCATTTTTGAAGCTATAGAATCCAATTTTAGCTTAATTTTACATAGAATCCAAATTAGTTTGCTTTTTCACGTACTTCCCATTACGTTGTTGAATCTAAAAATTGTTTACAAGATAGTGGATTATGTTGAAATTTTGATGACCTGGACTGGGTTAATAACTCATTTATTATTTTAACTTGGTCTTTTATTCTTAGGTGCGAGACTGGTATTTGGATTCCTTTCGTGACCTGAGAGTCTTTCCCGATATCAAGGATACAAATGATGAGAAGGAATTTACAAAGATGATCAAGGCTATTAAGGTGAGACACAACAATGTGGTTCCTATGATGGCTTTGGGGGTTCAACAATTGAAGAAAGGCATGGATCCAAAGATTGTTTATGAGGATCTTGACGAGATTCATCAGTTTCTAGATAGATTTTACATGTCGAGAATTGGAATTCGTATGCTTATTGGTTAGTTTCAACTTTGTTTTCTTTGTTACAGTTTCTTGAGGCTGGGTTTAAACTCTGTCTGCATGTTTAAATTTTGGTGAAACCAGGGCAGCATGTGGAGTTGCATAACCCTAATCCTCCTCCACATTGTGTGGGCTATATACATACAAAAATGTCTCCAGTGGAAGTGGCTCAAAATGCTAGTGAGGATGCTCGTGCTATTTGTTTGCGAGAGTACGGCAGTGCTCCTGAAATTAATATCTACGGGGATCCCAAGTTTACATTCCCGTGAGTATATTTACTCTTACTTCGGTTGAGTTTATTATATTTTATTTTACCGATATTTTTCATCTCTTGTTTTTCACTATGCTTTCAATTATTGATCCTCCAAAGCATCTCCGGTTCTTTTGTTTAGTGTCATAAATCTGGTAATTCATTGATCCTTTGACATCTGGCCTGCGTATTATCTGTTTTCTGGATAGCAGGTATGTTCCAACACACTTGCATCTGATGGTATTTGAGTTGGTCAAAAACTCTTTGCGTGCTGTCCAAGAGCATTATATGGATTCGGATAGAGTTGCACCACCTATTCGAATAATAGTTGCCGATGGACTTGAGGATGTAACCATAAAGGTAGTAGTTTGTCATGCTTTGTTATCCATATAAATTCGGGCAACTATTTCCTTTTTTCCTTTTTTGTTTGTAAAAGTGCATGGGAATTGAGGATGTAACAATATAACTTCGTTTAACTGGTTGTGCAGGTCTCTGATGAAGGGGGTGGCATACCAAGAAGTGGTCTTCCCAAAATTTTCACATACCTTTACAGCACTGCAAGAAACCCATTGGATGAGTACCCAGATCTGGGAACAGCTGATACAGTTATGACCATGGCCGGATATGGTTATGGGCTACCTATAAGCCGCTTGTATGCTCGGTATTTTGGAGGAGATCTTCAAATTATCTCTATGGAAGGATATGGTGAGTGCAGTTGTTACAGTTAACACCACTTAAAACACTCGTGAAATTAAGCATTTTACTAGTCTTATTCATGCCACAAACACGTAATTGCCTCATAGTTAGTAGTTAATGAAGCATTTATCCTCTCTCAACTCTTGAAATTTGAGACTTCATGTTATATTTTTATACAACATTCTTTCTTTTTTGCAGTCTCAACAGAGTAAGAGAGTGCATTTTTAATGATGGCAAGTTTTGTAATTATTAAAACCCTCAAAGTTCCTATTTACCTAAGAGTGTACACACGCGCTCACACACTCGAAGTTGGTAGCAGTGCAAATGATAGGCAATTAGGCATAATGAGACAAGAAGTTTGTTGCAAAAGAACAACTCTTCGTCTATGTAACTGTACTTTGACTGTTAGATCTGATTTGACTCTGTAGGGTTTCGTTGCAATTAACATTATACAGTTCTCAAGATGCATATTTTTGGTGGTTCATAAAAGCAGATAACTAGATTTGAAACTGGCATTTGTTAGTTTATTAGTTTCATAATCCATAATAGTCGTGGCTTTTGTCTTATGTCGAGCTATCTTGAACTTCAGAAATCAACCATTTCTTATTATAGATAGAAAGAGATGATGCTGACTTCTACCGTTTTTTTCTCTTACAACTTTTTTCTTTATGTTGAGTTATTGTTGACTTGGCTTGTATATCAAAATATTTGTTTTTCACCTTCCCAAATGCTCGTGTCACTGGTTTTCTCCGGCTAAACTAACGCATTAGAGATCGTCTGTATTGTTTTTTGCAGGGACTGATGCATATCTTCATCTGTCCCGTTTGGGCGATTCGCAAGAACCATTGCCATGATTTATAATGTTAAACCATGGAAATATGAAAGAAGGGAAATTTGTGATGCATATCTATGGATTTTAATTGTAATAAATTTGGTAGTTGACTTGTATTCCCATACTACAGTTCACGTTGTAACATCAGTTGATGCAATGGAAGTATCTTTACTGTTTTTTTATGTATATGAACTGGCAATTCTCTCACCAGCGTTTGACTTTAATTTGCCTAAGGTAGGCAAGTTTGCTCTATCGCATGTATTTTTATGGCAACGAGTACACAGGATGGCAAATCGTGTCTGATGAAATCATTGAACACCTTTTGAAGAAGTGCTAGATTACTCGACATGGATGGCAAACCCCGGAACCGACTGGAGTTTTCACCTTTGAAGGGATTGGGTTGAGTGGATTCGAATGTGCGCAGAGAGCAGTTGAATGTGCCAAAGAATTTTTAGCACTTCGGGAACTGGAAAAGGCCACCTCCCGGTGGGAAACAACTTTGAATTAGTTCAAATTATGTTAAGATGGCTCCTCATAGGGAAACCTTGGTAAAGCAGGTGCTGGGAGCATTATAGGAGATGAGACGAGCAAATTTGTCGTGGGCTCTTACAGGTGTGAATAGAGGCCGATCACACTCAAGGTAAAAAAAATCGGTGGCCACTCAATTTTTCTATTTAGCAGTCAAATTTTAAATTTTGCACATTTTGAAATGCAGTTAAAAGAAGAGAAAATAACCTCAGTGACCAAAAATATCTTATAATATACGATTTTAACCAACTTTTTTTGGATTTTCCAAAATGACCAACTAAATTGCAATGCGATCGATAATTCGCAACGCGATCTCCGGTATCGCAAATCAGTTTCCAGATTCGCAACGCGAACTTCGACTATCGCATTCCGATTTACATATTCGCATTGCGATAGTCGAAGTTTGCGTTGTGATTTTCCAAATTCGACTATCGCAACGCGAACTTGGACTATCGCAATGTGAATTGCGAACTTCGACTATCGCATTGTGATTTACATATTCACATTGCGATAGTCAAAGTTCGCATTGCGATAGTCGAAGTTCGCGTTGCGATTTATTCCAAATTTGTTGCGATAGTCGAAGTTCGCGTTGCGATTTATTCTAAATTCGTTGCGATAGTCCAAAATCGCAACGACTGGTGGTATTGCATTTGTTTCTTAAGAATTTTCTCTGAAAAGATAGTATTCGCGCGGACGTGTTGAAGACACGTACGACCACGACCACGACCCGACCCGAGACGAGACGGACGGCGGCGGCAGCGGCGGCACGCGAGAGTCCCCCTTGTTCTTTATCACTCAACAAGGAAGTGAGAAAGCCAAGTCTTAAATACTATTTTCAATAGTGTTTCCAATACTATGTGGGATTGAGCATTACCAACACTTGTTCCCAATACTATGTAGGATTGAGCCTTAAATAGTGATATTATTTTTGAATGTTTTGCTTAAAATTGCAATAATCGCGTTTGATTGTAGATTGACTTTTAATTATGACATATTTAATCGTATAATACTAATGCAATTGGTTGCTGCTTCAGTTGTTTTAAGGTGCATGATTGTTAATTGTTTCCTGAATAATCACATTGTATTGAAAACAAGTGTTGGTAATGCTCAATCCCGCATAGTATTGGAAACACTATTGAGAATGGTATTTAAGGCTTGACTTTCCCACTCCCTTGTTGAGTGATAGGGAACAAGGGGGACTCTCGCGCCACCGCCCGTCTCGTCTTGTCTCGTCTCGGGTTGTGGTCGTGGTCGTGGTAATACGTGTCTTCGACACGTCCGCGCGAATACTATCTTTTTAGAGAAAATTCTTAAGAAACAAATGCAATACCACCAGTCGTTGCGATTTTGGACTATCGCAACGAATTTGGAATAAATCGCAACGCGAACTTCGACTATAGCAACGAATTTGGAATAAATCGCAACGCGAACTTCGACTATCGCAACGTGAATTTGACTATCGCAATGCGAATATGTAAATCGAAATGCGATATTCGAAGTTCGCGTTGCGATAGTCGAATTTGGAAAATCGCAACGAGAACTTCGACTATCGCAATGCGAACTTGGATTATCGCAATGCGAACTTGGACTATCGCAATGCGAATATGTAAATCGCAATGCGATAGTCGAAGTTCGCGTTGCGAATCTGGAAACTGATTTGCGATACCGGAGATCGCGTTGCGAATTATCGATCGCATTGCGATTTAGTTGGTCATTTTGGCAAATCCAAAAAGGTTGGTTAAAATCGTATATTATAAGGCATTTTTTGTCACTGAGGTTATTTTCTCTTAAAAGAAAGGGTTTGAATCCGAACATTTGTGAATGGAGTAAACTAAGTTGAGAGGGTCGTCATTGCCTCTGTAATTTCAAACTTTATTTTATCTCAATTTGATTATAAGAAGCTAATTACCTGAATTCTAAAATAATTTATAAATGACATATATATATTAAAATAATAATAGAATTTAGTTTTATTGAGGGAATAAAGAGAAAATTTATAATTCAGAGAAGGAAAGAGTCGGCAAAATCCTAACCACTAACATTAACTGGCCATTTCTCCTAAAATCGTTTAAAAAAACAAAAATTAACTGCTAATTAATGAAAACAAAATTATAAATTTAATCAAACAATTTAAAAAAATATATAACAATCTATTAATAATTGATTTTATCATGATTAGGATGATCATGGATCGAATCAGATTTTTGATTCATTATAACTCACTCAAATATAACACCTATCCAGTCATCCGCACAACTCGAGTTTTGGGAAATTCCAACCGATCAAAGTTTAACTTAAATTTTAAGGTAAAAATATGTATCTTACCCTATACATACACATATAGATAGAATAGTATTATATCAATTATTTATAAATATATAAGGGTCAATAAAACTATTGTTTTCGGGTTAGGTATATTATTTTGACACTAAACACAAACTCAACTCATTCTTATCTTTAAAAAATCGACTATCCGACTCAAACCTTAATTTTTTAAAAAAATATCTCTATATGATCGAATCAAAACTTATCAGATTCAAATTAAATTCTCATTCTTAATCTCAATTTAAATATGACATAAAAATATAAATCAGAAATAACTTGAATTAAAATATAAAACTTCAACGAAAAATTCAAAAAAAATCTAATTGATAAATTCAAATAACTTAGAAGAAACAATTTAAAAAAATCAAATAGACTTAATCTGATAATTCACACTCAAACCTAACCCGACAGCTGAAATGAATAGTTAATTTTTCACGTTATTTGTGCTTAAAACCCCAACATCTGATTGGTTTTCCAGTGCTTGTCTGGTTCAATTAACAATGAACAGTTTTTGTGAATTCACGTAGCATCTGCGGTATAATTAATTAATTAAACATTTCCTGTTCACATTACATTTATCATAAATGATTGTTAATAAAATTAAAGGAAAAAATAATGATTGGTGACAAATGCTTCACTGCCATGCCGGTGGTTTTCACATGTTCTTTTGAATACAATTAGCTGATTCTGGACGTTATCCATTCCACAGCAAAGATTCGCTTTGTTACTTTCAACCATAACATAAGTTTACTATTAACTTCGTTTTTTATTTTATTCTTAATGGTTTTGGTCATCGAAACTATCACTTTAAACAACAAAAGAGGGAACTTTGATGTCTATGTTCAGTGGAGCTTTGGGATTTTATTCACCAAATGTCGGTTTAATTAAAATGATTTGACCGAAACTTTTATTCGCTTTTGGTTTATTTAGTTATTTTAATCGGTTCTGACAGTTAATTTGATTTTGAATATTAATTTTAAATATTTAAGTCATGTATTATATAAATTATATTTCGTTTTTTCACTTTCTTTTCTTTCCTCCTCTCTAACTTTTATATTAGGTTTAATATAAAAATAAAATTTTAAATTATACATGCTTTCTATTTAGGATCTAAATTATTTTGTTAATCCAAATACTTAATGTTACAAGTGTTATTATTTTAAGTCTCTCGACCATAAGCAATCATTAAAATTTTTTATTAAGTAACACATGTCACGTTTTGATAATTTTAAAGATTTTATTTAAAATAAAAAAATTAAAATATATTTTATTTATAAAAAACTTTAAATTTTCAAACATCTTAAAAATTCAAACCTTTGAAAATATTTATTCTAATCCTTATACTCACGTCAATCATCGTTGTTGTCGTCGACTGAACCTCCATCGACGACACAACCACCGTCACTAGTCATTTAGATTGTCGCCACCAAGCACTAATATTCTAGAGAAGAGGGAGGGGAACGAAGCAAGGGGTCGAGGGGGTGATTGGGACTGGAGGGGGGTGGCGAGAGGGAGGGGGAGGCGAGGGGTTGTTTTTATATATATAAATTTTTTAAATATAATAATTTATTTTAATTTTTTTAAATGAAAATTTTAAAATTATTAGAATACGACACATATTATTTGATGAAAATTTTTAACGGTCGTTACAATCATACACCTAGAGTAATAACGTTTGTAAAGTTAGACATATAAATTGACCGAAAAACAATTCAATCACCTTAATGAAAAAAACCCGGCATAATTTGGATACTTATTTTTATATTAAGTTTTTATCATATTATTATTTTTTATCTGGATTATGTTATTTTATTTTGTTTATTTAGTATTTCTCATTTGTATTGAAAATGAATAATGATTTTTGTATGTTATTGAAGTAATCTCTTTTTTTAAATCTGAATTTGACGTCATTTTTTTAATTGGTGTTTATTTTATTACTTTGTAGGACTACCCATGCTTTACACCACAAGACTCGTTCTTTCATATTAATATAACTTTTATGAATAAATTGTAATTGAGTTATGATAAAATTAATTTATCATTGTGTTATTATTGTAATGTCCAATTTTATGATTATATTAATTATATTTATCATGTAAGCTAAACAATAATATTTGTTTGCCGTTATTATTTAAATAAAATATTTTTAAATTTCAATTATTTTAAATTTAAAACATATCAAATGTATTTTTTTTTTCAAAATTAAAGATGATTTAAAACTCAAGTATATATTAGAGTAGGATATTCAAGCAAGTTCAGAAGTCAACCGTCGGAGATCTTCAATTTTTTTTTTGAAGAAACTCACACTTTTTATTTTATGCTCCAATATAAACGGAAGAATGCTCACCTCTAGATTTGTAGGGTAGGGAGTCGCCTCTAGAATCTCAATGGTTAATGGTTTTGGCTATCAGTAGAATATTAAATGAATCAAGTTTAAATGAATGAGTTCGTTCATTTATTTTAAGAGCTTTATGCATATTTAATTTGTATTTTTACAAAGATTAAGTGAATCTATTTATGTATATTATTAAACAAGTTTATGAACAATCAAAACCCTATTTTACGTACTTAATTCTGATTTTGTTTAGTAAATTTTTGAACTTGTAACCATAAAGGTATTTTTCTGTTTTTCCTTTTTGAAAAATAGTTGTTGAACGGTAGAAAATAGTAGAATCATAAATGAATTTAAAGAGACGAATAAAAGCAGTCGTTTTTATGAGATTTTTAATTTATTTCTTTATCATTCATAAAATTTTATAAATTCACTTACTAACATAAAATTATACCTTCTTTCTCCCAATAAAACCCTTAACTTGGCTCTCCCACACCCCTTGTTTCACGTAGCCAAAAGGAAGACAGAATTCGAGTGGGTTTTGAAAATGGATGGTGACGTTGTTTGATATTAATGATTGAAACAAGGCATGCATGATAACGAGGATGAGAGCGGAGGCGGTCACTTTTAGACATAAGTGGCACAGGCGTTGAAAAAAGCAAAGGCCCCCCCTCTTTCACGTGTATCAGTTATGCTCGGTAGCGTTCTCCATGTGCTTCGCTGCAGCACTCACCAAATAGAAATACCGCGACGCCTTTCAAGATAAGCCTAGACTATTTAATTTTATATTAAATTACTACTTCTCAGATTATAAATACGTTTTTAATAAATTTATTAAATAAAGGGTAATATTCATCCCAAATTGTTAGTTCTATTATAAATATGTCATCCTTTTTAAAGTTATAATTTAGTCACTTAATATATTATTGTATCATTAAACTTGAGACAAACATATAATGTGATATTGTATAAGAATAATTTTAGTCTGTAAATATTTATAGATTATATTAATTTCGTAACAAAATAGTAGCTGGATAGCTACATTCTACCATAAATGATAACAAGTTACTATTATATTATTATTATACTAGGAAATAATGTAAATTTTGTACGAGAAGAATAAGTGACTAAATTATAGTTTTTAGAAGGAAAAATTACCTATTTGTAACTGAATTAATAGTTGAGTGATCTTGAGTGCATTTTACCCAAAAAAAATAAAAGCACATAAAACAAGGAAGGTGATTTTTTTTTCCTCTTTGGCTTTGTTTGTGGACTGTAGCCGCATCCCACGGATCTTGCCTTCTGGTTTCCTTTCCTTTTTTTCTCTCTCTCTATTTTCCGATCTTCTTGTGCGCGTGTATATATATGCACAAAAGGGGGATATAGGGTTGACCATATTATTTAAGAAGAGAGCCAATAGAGAGAAAGGGAAGTGCAGGAAATTTGCAGAGAGATAACCCAAAGCAAAAGCAGAGCGTCGATTCAAAGCTTATATAGGAAATAGTATAATTGTAGGGATTTGATATCCATTTAAAGCACCATTAATGGCTTCTTGGAAGAAAACCATCGCTTCCCCGTTCAAAAAAGCGTGCACTTTCTTCAACCAGCAACCCAGGGATAAGAAGTCCCAAAGAGGTACACATCTCTCTCTCTCTCTCTCAATAGACAATTGAAGTTAGAATTTTCTCGGCTTCTAAATTCAATTATAGTTTTATTACTGTATTAACTTAAACCTCTGTAATTTTTTGGAGGATTAAAATCGTGATTTTGTCTTTTTTTAGAAACAAAATACAATTTTGACATGTATTAATTTATAACTTTAAATTTTGTAAGAGGACTAAAGCATAATTTTACCGTTTTATATATATATATTGGCTATAATTCTACTCATCTAATGATGTCTTGCCCATCCATTCCATTCTTTTCCGCTTCCTTTCTCCCCAATGAACGTAACATGTATTAATTTATAACTATAAAATCTGTAGGAGGACTAGAGTATAATATTTTCCATTTTGCATATATTATTGTTCTACTCATCTGATGATTCTTGCCCATCAATCCCACTCTTTTCCGTTCCCTTTGTTCCCAATGAACGTTTAGTGACGATTAACAATATAATGAAAACGTAAATTATATAATTTACATGAATAGAACATTAATTACGACGGTCGAGTTATTAAAGTATGGATCAAACGATTTAATAATAATATTATAAAACTGATTGAATGGAAGATAAAAAATTCAACTGACACATTGGATTCGGTTATATCCAACAATGATTACGTGGCTAATAGAGAGTTGTGGGCTTGCAGAGCATGAAAAGCATGTGATGGATCTGCACGGAGAGGTGATGGCATGTGCGTACGAAGATGTGCAAGTCATGTGGTCCATCCTGGACAAGTCCAAATCCACAGCCTGCAACATCAAGCCCTAGATTCCTCCCCCCTCCTTATTTTTGTTTCCTCTTGCATGTGGCTGATGTACATAATGTGATTCTTCAATGTTAAACTTGTTCCAAGTGATGAACAAGATCAACACAATTTACAAATCCATTGCAAATTTGGGGAAATTAGGAGATTGGAAGGCTTATGTTTTCCTTTTTTATTTGGAATTCGAGTTGTTATCTTGTAGGGAATCCCCGAGAGCATTAAATCTCACGGCGAGATTTTTAATCAAATTTTCTTTTTTATATTTATTTTAGTATTTATGTATAATCTCTTATTTTTATTGATAAACAATGAAGGATTCATAACTTCCTTCCTTTCTTTATTTTATTAATAATATATATTCTGAAATTTTATTTGTATTCATAATATTTAAAAATTTTATATTATTAAAATGTGTGTTTATCTTAAAGAATTGTTGATAAATCAAAACTAAGATCTAACATAGTGTTGCAATCGCTCATCCAATCCGTTTTGTTTATATTTATATTTGTGTTAATATGTATATACTAAGTGCATGTATTTATTTTCAAATAAAACTCTAAATCAAATGTTTTGAATGAAATGATTGTTTTTTAATATATATTTTTAATTATTATTAACGTCCTTATTACAATAGCTTATAGTCATGTATTTTTTTATGCAAATAGAGTTAATTTTACTAAAAAAGTAAAATATTTAAAATTGTAATGAAATTTAAAAATTAAATACACAATCATAATATTTTTCTATGGTCATTGATATAAAAAAGAGTTATTTCAGACTATTAAAAGATCATACAAGAAAAAAAAAATTAAAACACATTCAAGAAACTCGAACAAAAACATACAATCAAATCTGACTCTTTCCACAAATGAATTATAACATAATATTAAACTATTAAAAGACATAAACAACCGCAAATTATAATCGAGCGTTGTGAGAAAATTATCTATAAACGCAAATAGCGTATCAAAGTCAATTTAAATATCAATTTATAAAGTCATAATTTTTTAAGATATATGCATATAGTAAAGTTATAAAGTCATAATTACTAGGAACTAAAAAATACAAAAAAAATATATGCATATAGTAAAGTTAATATGAAACAAGGAATATAGACCGTTGACAACCAACACAAGACTAGTGACACTGCTTATCAAACCTAAATGAAAATGAAATAGACAATAGACATAGGCGAAAGAAAAAAAAACGATAATTTTTTCTTCAAATATCAATTTAAATTTATTGAATGATCAAAGATATGATAGACCTGCTTATTGTCATTTATCAACCTAATTGTTTTAGTTGTCTTTATAGTTTCACCCTTCTACACCTCCTTTAAACAACAAGGTATTTAATACTACCATGAAATGCATACATTTTCTTTCATTTTGAATCCTTCTTGTTTTTTTATGTAATAATACATTTGTATTGATCAATCTCCTTTTTTATTTAAAATATGATTATATCAATTGAGTTTTGTTTTTCTCATTTATTTATATAAATATAAAAATATTGCATCAATCTTAGAAGAATATATTTAAGGGAAAAGTATAGTAATGGTCACTGAACTTTTCTAAAGCTTTCATTTAGGTCCCCAAATTTTAAAACTTACAATACAGTCCTCCAACATTTAGTCCGTTTGTAATATGGTCCTCGACCGTTAACTGTCGTTAGTACATTTGCAATACGCCTCTGAACTTTTTAGGCTCTTGCATTTAGGTCCCCTAACTTTTAAAACTTGCAACACAATCCTCAATTTTATTCTAAACCCCAAATTCCAAAATGATTCAATTATATTCTAAACCCTAAATTCTAAAATACTTTAATTTGGAGTTTATAATATAATTGAAGTGTTTTAAAATTTGAGGTTTAGAATGTAATTGAAGTGTTTTGGAATTTTGAACATGAATTTGCTATTTAACTCATATAGATTTTTTGCTAGGGTTCCTGAGTTTTCTTCTTAAAACATTACTTGTATCTTTGAGTAAACACACTATTTTCATTATAAATTTGTTATAGTTGGAGAAGAAGATGAAGAACGGAGGAACGAACGGGATTTGGGAATGGAGAAAGGAGGGTTAGGGATTTTGGAGGATGAAGGATTAGGGATTTATGAGAGTAGATTGGGGATTAAAATCAGAAAAGGGATTAAAGCACGAGGGAAATTTGACTTACCTGATGATGTGGAGGCAGGCCAAGGAGGTTTGGGGCAAGATGGAGCGGCCCAGTTGATTGGCCCAGTACCTGAAATACAAAAGAAAAAGGAATCAGTTTGTTAAGCATTCAGTTATAAGAATTGCCAGCTGGCTTTGTTAGATTTACCAGTATGAATTGTAACTAAATAATACCTCATGGGGAGCACATTTCCTTTTATGATTTGAATGAATGAGAATACGTTTTTGTAATCTTCCTTCTTCTCTTTCCAAAATTCTCTATTCTTTGATAATTTCTTCTTCTTATTTCTCATTCCACAATAAATTGGTATTGAGAGCCTCGGTTCTGGCAAAATATTGAGCATGGCAAAGAAGAATCAGTCCATGACTGAAGTCGATCTTTCAGGCCTGCAAAAGCAAATGAAAGATTTAACAGCGTTAATAAAGAAAGGACATGACGAGACGAGTCCACCTAAATGGTGGGAAATGAAAGAAAACAGAATTACTGAAATGGAGTCGAGGATGGCTACTAATCAGGGCTATGTTGAAGAACTGTTAAAGATCATAACAGGCAGAACAATGAAAATGAACAACCTGCTGGGGAACAGGTACAAACTTCTAATAACTCTAAAAATGGGGAGAAAAATCCAGTTTTGGTGGCTATAGTGAAAGATAAATCAAGATTCACTTATAAAACGGATGAACCTGGGATTTTGAAAGATAATTGTTTGGCCATTAAGAACAGTTCTAGGCCTGAAAATCTGATAGGTGAAAGCAATAACAATAAACCTAATATGATGGGAATGGTAGTTGAAAACAAGGGACCAGGGGGTTCATTTAGCAGTACAGGAAATATGTGGCATAGACCTAAAATTGAACTGCCTTTTTTCGAAGGAGTTAATCCGAGGGAGTGGATTCAGATATGCCATAAGTATTTTTCTATTTGTGGTGTTCCTGTTGAGCACAGAGTGGAGGTAGGTACTATGTACTTAACAGGCAAGGCAGAAATATGGTTTGATGGGTATATTATGCAAAAACACCATGTTACGTGGCATGAGTTTGAAGGTGATCTCTGTAATAGATTTAGTGATAGATGTTTTTCTAATATTGTTGAAGAGTTTACTAAATTGACTCAGAAAGGGTCTGTAGAGGATTATCAGGAGAAGTTTGAGGAGTTACAACCTCATATGCTTTTGCAGAATCCTACTTTGACTGAGGAATTTTTTTGTGTCACTCTTTGTTAGTGGACTCAGAGATGATATTAAACATAGGGTCAAGGCTTTAGATCCTAAGAATTTATTTGAAGCATGTAAGCAAGCTAAACTCTATGAATTATCTGTGGAGTTTGAAAACAGAAGGTTGAGGCCTTCTTTTAAAGTCCCACCCTACCTAAACCCCAGTACTATTTCTAAACCATATGCACTGCCAGTTAATACAAAACCTATAGCAGTAGCAACTCCTAAACAGAGTCTTATAGAGCATAGAAGGCAGAATAATATTTGTTTTAAATGTGGTGAGAAGTATCTTCCAGGTCATCAATGTAAAAATAGACAGTTGAACATGATTACGGAAGAAGTGGATACTCCTTCAGTGGAAATTTTTCCTACAGATTCGGATCAACTCTACAAACAGAAGAGGAAACTTTAGAAATCTCTATGAATGCTATTATTGGCTCTATTAGTCATACTACATTGAGAATCCAAGGCACTATTCAAGGGAAACCATTGAGTATCCTCATTGACAGTGGCAGCACACACAGTTTTTTAACTCCTAAATGGGCTGATACTGGGATTCAGATTACTACTCCTTATCCTTTGGCTATTACTGTGGCTAATGGCCAACAACTATTCAGTACTACTAGATGCAATAAAGTAGAGTGACAAATGCAGGGACATACTTTTTTGCATGATTTTAGGCTGCTTAAACTGGGTGGGAGTGACATGGTTTTAGGAGTAGATTGGATGAAGTTATTCAGTCCAATATTAATGGACTTCAATCATATGACTTTAAGTTTTGATCATGAAGGGCAAAATTTGTATTCAGGGACAACATCCCTCAACTGAACTACAGTAAATTTCAGGGGCTACATTACTTAAAATGAGTGCAGGGGATTCTGATATTTTAGGGCATATTGTCCTATTTACTATGGCAGGAAGTTCTTTTGCTATTCCTATGGAACTTCAACATATCTTGGAGAAATATAGCTCAGTTTATGCAGAACCTGAAGAGATACCTCCCCAGAGGTCTCATGATCATGACATTCCACTTAAATCTACTGCCACACCAGTTAATTTACGGCATTACAGATTTCCTCACAATCAGAAGGCTGAGGTTGAAAGACATATCACTACAATGCTTTCTTCTTCTGTCATTCAACCTAGCAGAAGCCCATTTGTCTAACCCTGCCTTATTATTAAAAAGAAGGATGTCACTTGGAGGTTTTGTGTGGATTACAGACAACTTAATAGTATGACTATTAAGGACAAATTTCATATTCCTATAGTGGAGGATTTATTGGATGAGCTACATGGGGCAGTTTACTTTTTAAAAATTGATCTGAGGTCAGGTTATTGGCAGATTAGAATTAAACCAGAAGACATTTACAAGACTGCATTTATAACACATCAAGGCCATTATGAATTTAAGGTGATGCCTTTTGGCCTTACCAATGCTCCTGCTACATTTCAGGCACTTATGAATGACTTGTTTAATTCTTTCCTTAGAAAATTTGTTTTGGTTTTCTTTGATGATATATTGCTGTACAGCAACAGTATGGCCGACCATGTTGAACATTTACAATTAGTATTGAAAGTTTTGCAAAAGAATCAATTATTTGCAAAACTCTCCAAATGTTTTTTTGGACAGGCTAAAGTGGAGTATTGGATTT